AAGAAACCTAAAAGACATTTCCATTGAGATGCATTGTGAGCATTTTAATTTAAAATTACAAGTCCATTGGAATTCCACCTACTGTACTGTATTTCGGTACATTTACATGACAAAGACACCAAAAAATGGAGTGGTGATCTCATAATTCTTTTCTTACCACGTCCTTTTATTAATAGTATTTTTATTAAAAGTATTTTTAGATAATAATCTACTGTGATACAGAAGAACAGAATTATTTATTTAAAAGGCCACTGAACAAAACTGTAGATATGCCCCCAAAATATGTACAAATATAATGTCTCAAAAAATTAAAAACAAAACAAAACAAAAACAAATAAACTGGTCTCTGGCATGCAGTTGGTGAGGTGAGAAAGCTCTTCCTGCGGCCCAGCCAGCAGATGGCACAACCCCGCTGGCTGGTTGGTCAGTGCTGTGGTCCCTCCCAGATTGGGTCCGCAGGCTCTTCCTCTGATTACTTTTAGGTACGTTTCAGCTAAAGGTTACCACCTCCCTCTTCCTCCTTCCCTTCCTTTCTTTCTTCTTCCCCAGATCCCTTCATCTTGCCTTCTTTTTTCCCCCCATTTGACTGGAAGACTGAATGCTACCAAGGAGACTGAGTTAAAAATCATCACTGAGAATTACTGCGAGTCCCTCTTGAGGGCAGATATTACAATCTGTCCTCCTGTGACAGATAGCATGTAATTAATCCAGGCAGGTTTTTGGAAAGTAAGGCAACTTGGGAATGGATCTAGAAAAAGAGCTAGGTGAGATATGGCACAAATTTACTCCTTATGAAGTCAAGGGTAAAGCAGGGTTTGGGAGTTAGACACATCTAGCTATTGGAGAATTATTTCTGTAAGTCAAAAATAGCCCACTTCCAATACTGTCATATGTGTATTTTTCCTAAACTTTAAAAAATTAAAGTATAGCATACAAAGTGGCCCTTTGGACCATGACTCTTTCCCTCCTTCTTAAAACAATCACTATTCTGACTGCTAACAGTACAGAGTAGTTTTGCCTCTTGTTTAACTTTATACCAATGAAGGAATAGAATATGTATTCTTTGGAGGTTGGCATCTTTTGCTCAAATTATGTTTGTGAGCAGCAGTTCCAGTTGTGGAGCAAGTGGAGTTTTCATCATTGAGAAGGCAAACATTCCTTCTGGAAGAGTACAAGTAGGTCTCATGCCTGTGTATGAATTAAGTTATCTTATATTATTTTCTTTTGTAGGTAGAGGGGCAAGAAGAAAGTGGTAGCTGTCCAGGGGCATGAAGGGAATGATGGAATGTGTGGGAGAAAACTATGGAAAGTGCAGGTTGCTCTAAAAACTAATTTTGGTTAAATAATAGTATTTCTAGGATCAGACTTGATGTTAAATATCATTAGGAATTCGTTCAAATCAACATAACCTCCAGTACATTGGCCATATCGATGGTTAAATGAAGTAATAATATGTATTCCTTTCTTCCTTCCCTAGGTTGGCACCCTGATCAGCCTGTGTTCTGGGCTTTTTAGCAGAGAGTTTATAAAATCTTCTTAGATGGATGATTTCATTTAGTTATACAATGCACACACTTAAATCTACTATAACCTGGACAAGTATGATGACTATCTCCATGAGAACTCATTTCATTAACCGAGAATAGATTGCAACCCATCACAAAGTGTTTCAAATGCAATAAAACTATCCAGAAATCCTTTGGCTGTCAGCTTTACACGAATATGTAAAAGTAGTTTTTAGACTCTGAAGGAGTTAAGTACTGAGAGCAGTGACAGATGTGGGAAGTATTCAAGCTTTCCGTGTGTGGCACAGGAAGGCACAAATCACCTTTGTTAAAATAATAAATATGCCCTTTTTAAAGAGATGCCAGGGACTTCTGTACAGAGGCAAGAACTGAGACATCAAAGTTTGCAAGGGAAAAAATAGGTACCTGGGACCAAATTCACACCTCTCCGGAGACTGTTCAGATCCTGGATATCAGCAAAAAATGAGAAGAGGGGAAATAGTTGGAGACAGAGGGGAGGAGGAAACGAAGCTCAGCTAGAACCAATCCATGGTAAATTAATTAGGAAATGTTTTCTTATAGAAAAAGATTGGGTATAGAATGGGGTGGGCAATTGGGTAAGGGTTCTGGAACCATGAGATCCTACTTGCAATGCTTACTTCATCAGATCTCAGTATTTCCATCTGTAAGTGGGAAAAATAAAACCAATAATACTTTTATTACTTATAAATTGTGTATCTGTCTCTAACCATTTGTCTTCCTGCCTGTAATAACATAGAGTATTTATATCTCCACATCAGTTATAGACCTTACCCATTATCAGTTTTATTGATGGTTCTATTAATAATACAGGAGCCAAACTCTGCTCAAATAAATAAGCAGCTCAATTCAGCTAAATTTGAGTTTCACCAACCTACCTATTTCCAACCTGTGATCTCAGGGAGATCTCACCATTCTCCGGTTTGGTCTGTCCTCTTGCTTCCACTACAAGGTAAGAGGACTTTTTTGATGCTAGGAACATGGCAGGTGGGCATTTGCCAACTCCACAGGCCCCTGGTTAGGCAGTACATTTGGTGATGGAGAATACGATCTCCAAAGAATGCTTTTTTAGCTAGTGAGGATTATTTATAGCTTCTGACACAGAAGGTTTCAAGAAGAGAAGGAACATCATTATTGACACTAACTCAAATGAACTCCACAGGAAGGACTATAAAGTCCTCATAGGGTGCCCTGAAGAGATGCGGTCTTAGAGAACTTAACAATGGGAGGGGAAGGGATGAATGGAGAAATGGGGGTGAGTTGCCAAGGTGTGCAATAGATTTGGGGCTTAGCTTTCTTTTTCTAGGGCATCAGTGTTCTTCTTTTTCTGACTGCAGGGTCTTCCCCCTCCAATTTTTTTTTCTGCCAAAAGAATGTTGGTCCAACATCTCTGAAGCAGTGTAGAGCCTTCTGCTCAAAGACCTGTGGGCACGCAGACTCCAGTTTCACGGTGATAATCTTGTCTTCCTCACTTTTAAGTTCTTTTCTCTTCAGACCTCACCTGCATCCAATGGTGCCTCCGGAAGCCCACAAGAAAAGTGTTTATTAGTGGGGCTGGTTTGCTCACATCTCATAAATGTACTTTGCTCAGTCTGTGCTTATGCTGAGTCTCCACCTGAGAATTCTCTCACTGAATCCCACCCTACCAAATGCCACCCATTCTTCAAGACCCACATCTAGCCCACTTCTCTCCCCAAAGCTTTCTCTGATTACCTAGCCCTCAGGGAGCTCACGCCTCTCCTCTGAATTGTGAAGAGCAGTTAAGGCCTATTTCATACAACAGCGCTAATTAACCATATTATATTACCTCTTATTTTGTTATATGTTACTGTAGTTTCTCTAGACGATTTTTTTTGAGTTAGGGGATCTATTGAAGTAGGGACTAAGCTATTTGAGTCAGGGATCTAATCTATGCAGAATGGCAGAGAGGCTACTTTTTCTAGTTTGTCTGCCCAGAAAGGGGTTCTTTCTGTGAATACACACAAAGGCATGGTATAAGCCAACTTAAGCCCTCTTCTTCCCTTGTAATTGATTTCAGACATGGGCAGACCAACCTACCTGCCATGGATAGTTACCACTGTTAGTCCTTAAGGAGAAAAATTATCTTCCTAGACCCTCTGAGTGACACCATTCATCAAATGTTTTCTTTCAAGATGCCATCTTTTTTATATGCAGAAAGTTGACACGGCCTTCCAGATGAAGCAGAACAAAAGACATTCTCTAACGACCATCATACAAATTACATTCTGAGAGATTGTTCAGCAACAATTCATAAACACCCTAGAAATACAATCAAAGATATGGTTTGGGGAAAGGGGGAAGATAGTCCAGGTGAGCTAGCTGAAGGAGTTGCAGACAACGTGGAGGGGAAATTCAGCTCAATGATTGTGTCCAGCCAAATCTCACCAAGTTCAGCACTGAAGTTTAGAATGGTAAAAACCTGAAAGGGCATACAAATTCGCTGTGTGCCACGGGGCACACAGATGTGCTCTCTTTGCCTAAGAGGAGTTTCTGGTTTAGGTCCTTTAATAAGTCATGTATGTTGATGTGCAGGACCAGCTGGGAGGAAGGGGCTGCAGTCCCCGCCCACTGTATAGTATTAGCCTGTGACCTGGGGCGAGGCACTTGATCTCTTCTCATCTGCAAAATGGAGATAATACCTCCTCCCTCATTCATTGATTCATCCCTTCACCAGATATGTGTTAAGGGCCCACTAAGGGCCAAGCACATAGGAACGTGACAGGGAGCAAAACAGACATGGTCTTTGCCTGTAGGGGGAGTTCAGATCACCTCACAGGGTGGAAGTTACAGAGAAGAGAAGTATCTTTGAACTGGGAAGCACTGTAACAATGGAAAGTCTTCTTCATTACCAAAACTTCTACTCACGATCTAGCTGCATAACCCTGGGCAAGTCTAATTTTTCTGGGTGTTCCTATTCTCATCTATAAAATGAAGAAATTTCCTGTCATAAAATTTAATTATTCCAAATACACATGAAGAAGTTACGCTTTCTAGGTACTTCTGAATCCTGGCTTTCTGAAAGATTATGAAATAATCCAGACACACCAAAAGGATAGAAATAATATAACAAACCCTGTGTACCAACTCCCCAACTGGAGAGAAAACATTACAAGGAGCTCTAACTGGTGGCCTGCCCTCTTTTCCCCAGAGGGAATAACTGTGATGAGTTTGGTGTTCATTATTCCGAATCATGGCCTTTCAGAAAACCTGATGCATGACTAAAAATGGTTCCCCAATGAAGAGTTCTTCCTACACCAAGGTGTTTCTGGTTCCTGATGAATGCCAAGTCACAACAGTGCACATCACAGAAGCTCAAGTACCAGCCTGTTCTCTCTCTGCCAACCTTGCTTGCTGCTCACACAGCAGACAGAATTAGAAAAACCCTGTGGCAGGCACTGCCTGCTGCATTTAGAAGGAGCGCAGTTTTGTAGTTACCTTGAGGGCCTTCTGTGCAGGTTCACTAGACCCAATTGCAATGAGGTTAGGCCCAGCCATGCTGCAAAAACTCTTCAAATGCAAAGTATCGGTCACCGGGACTGTGGAGACTGCATAGTCCTACAGAGACGACAGAAAAACAAGCAATTTAATATTGCAGAATAATTCTAAAATCGATTAAAAACTTGCCTGAACCACACCTGCTTCTCTGAAAGCTGCCAGGGGCCCTAAATATCTGGAAGAAAAACTGGGACCCATAGGTTTGGGTATTGCCAGTTAAATGAAGACTGCATCTAAGAAGAAAGTGCAGAGCTTCCTTCCAGATGTGTGACTAAGGCAACGTCTTTGCCAGCTCTTTGATTTATGGAGTGGGCTGCTCTGGGACACTGTGTTTGAATATGCTGTGCAAACTATGGCTCAGCTGGAGCCTCACATCCTCATAGGGAACAGGGCTTCCTGGGAGTTATGTCCTTTCCTAAGCAGTCTGGAGATCCAATCTATTAATGATCAATACAGTGAAGGGACCTCGACGATGTATGTGCAATATCTGGGACAGTTTCTAGCGCAGAGCAGGCACTCAAGTACAGGTGACTCCTGATTCTAATCGGAAAAATTTGTATTTCATGTCAGAGTCGGTTGGGTCTCCAGATTTTTTTTTAAGGCTGTCAATTGTGCCAGGAACATCTGCCTGGCAATTGTATGATTATACATTGGGAGAAAGCAGAAGATGCCCATGCTAACTTTGTTGCTCCTGTGGTAGCCCAATGAAGCTGATTTATTGAGAAATTTGAATTTAATAGCTTCTGGCAAATGTAAAAATATTAGGAATTATTTTACAAAGCCAGTGAAATATAAACACCATTACTCATCACATTGATTCAATGGTCTATGAATATTTATTAAGCAATTATTTTGTACCAGGCATAAATTATCCTTTACCTACCTTAAAAGTATCAGCCAAGATTTCAGCACCTCGTTGATTTGTCCTTTTGGAAAGGCCCACAAAAAATTCTCTGCCTATAATAGATGTCATGGAACATAGTGAGTGGGTGGCACCTGACTGCCTACTATTTCTTTTATCTATAAGAAATGACCTTAAAGCATCACACAGTTCTCTCTTTCCACAGAGGACAGCTTCACTAAAGAGACCCCTGCCCTCTTTACAAAAAACTCATTTCAAACTATTGCCCTTAAAAATAAACTTTTCCAAATTCGTAAAGACAGAAAGTAGAATGGTGGTTTCCAGGACCTAGTGGGAGGGCAAAATGGGCAGTTATTGTTTAATGAACACAAAGTTTCAGTTTGGGAAGATAAAAAAGTTCTGGAGATGCATGATGGCGATGATTGCCCAACAATGCGAATGTAGTTAATGCCTCTGAACTGTACACTTAAAAATAGTAGATTTTATGTTATGCATATTTTACCACAATAATGAATTAACTTTTTTAGCCTGAAGAATCTTAGGGAAAAAAAAAGAATGAACTCTTTATTTAGGCAATAATAAAATTAAACCCATTAATAATCTATAGTCAGAAATTAAGTAATAGCAATGACAAGTTAGCAGTACAACAGGCCCTTAAATAACATTGTTTTGTTCAATATCATTTTGTTTTAATGTTTATGAGAAAAAAAAGATCAATTCGTGCCCAGAGCCACTGTCTGTGTGGAGCTTGCCTGTTCTCCCAGTGTCTGCATGGGTTTTCTCTGGGTACTACGGTTTCCTCCATACCCCAGAGCCGTCCATGTTAGGTGAACTGGTGTGTCTAAACAGTCCCAGGCTGAGTGAGTGTGGGTGTGTGTGAGAGTTTGCCCTGTAAGGGATGGCGTCTTGGCCAGGGCTGGCGCCTGCCTTGTTCCCCGAGCTGCTGGGATAGGATCCAGTCACGCATGACTGAACTGGAAGAAGCAGGTTGGAAAATGGATGAATGAATTGGATACAAATTATTGTAAAATAAGAATTCATAAAGTTTGTGGTTGTTATAGAGATGCACCACAATAAATGATGTGATATGAAAGTGCTCAGCTTTGTGACTGTTTATTTTTTTTATTTATTTTTTTTTTGAGACAGAGTCTTGCTCTGTTGCCCGGGCTAGAGTGCCGTGGCGTTGGCCTAGCTCATAGCAACCTCAAACTCTTGGGTTCAAGCGATCCTTCTGCCTCAGCCTCCCTAGTAGCTGGGACTACAGGCATGTGCCACCATGCCCGGCTAATTTTTTCTATATAGATTTTAGTTGTCCAGATCATTTCTTTCTGTTTTTTAGTAGAGACGGGGTCTCGCTCTTGCTCAGGCTGGTCTCAAACTCCTGACCTTGAGCGATCCACCTGCCTCGGCCTCCCAGAGTGCTAGGATTACAGGCGTGAACTGCCGCGCACGGCCGTGACTGTTTATTTTTGATCTGTGTGGCGGGAGGAGATGCTCCTTAAAATTTTCGCTTTGCAAACAGTCATTCCTCGACTTAACCCACCAGCATTCCAACCGCCATCGCTCACTGATTTACCAAAAACTGGGTAAATAATTCTCTTACTTGCTTTTATTCATCTTTCTTAAATGTATGTGTAGCTCACATTTATTTCAATGTTTAACATTAGAAGCATTTTTGGGTCTTTACTTGGAAGTTTGGTGATGTTTTCATGACCACAAATATGAGGTAGGAACTTAACTCTTGTTTGTATCAATTAGCCGGTGGTAAAATTGGTTTCATTATATGTCATTCTGCTTAAATTGGCAGCTTCCAAGAACCTATCAATGGTGTTAGGTGAGAACTTACTGAATTATCTTTTTTATTGCCTTAAAGAACAACTAGACATTCTTGATGAGGTCAGATCTCTTTTCTTATAATGATCATGTGAAGCCTGAAGAAACCATCTGGGTGAAGTGAATTCAGATCGACTGGTCTTCAGGTTTGAACTCTAAGAGCTCTGTCTTTAAAACTAGACATCCATTTATTTCAAATCAAACCATCAAAAGATACCTATCTACAAACTGAAGATGTTTTGGAGCATGGAATGCTCTTCTTATTTGACTTTTTTGAAATTCTGCAGTTTTTCTACTTAGAGGCAAAATACTAGATAAAAATGGACTCTTAGTTATAGGCAAACAATTGTAGTAGACGGGATTAGGCAATACATAAATGTGGGGATTCTCATCTTCCCTTAACTCCTTGGAAAAGAATTCCACATGAAATGAGGGGAAAAAATAGTCAAAGAGAAACCGGTATCTTTTCGCCTCAAAGCATTATGGTAAACTAGAAGAGTAGCCATGTGGAAGGAATAGTTGATAGACTTTACAAATGTTATAACTTTAATTTTCATGATGTCCTTATAAAAGGACATAGGTCAAATGATGTTATGACAAATTCCAAGGGCTCATGCTGTTAGCAGACACAGGAATCTTTTGTGGCACAATGATAATTTTTTTCTTTTTTTTTTTTGAGTCAGAGTCTCACTTTGTTGCCCTGGCTAGAGTGAGTGCCGTGGCGTCAGCCTACCTCATAGCAACCTCAAACTCCTGGGCTCAAGCAATCCTACTGCCTTAGCCTCCCAAGTAGCTGGGACTACAGGCATGCGCCACCATGCCCGGCTAATTTTTTCTATATATTTTTAGCTGTCCAATTAATTTCTTTCTATTTTTGGTAGAGACGGGGTCTCGCTCTTGCCCAGGCTGGTCTCGAACTCTTGAGCTCAAACAATCCGCCCACCTTGGCCTCCCAGAGTGCTAGGATTACAGGTGTGAGCCACCGCGCCCGGCCATAATTTTTTTCTTAATGGTATGATTGTCTTGTCCCTTAAGAAAACTCACTACATAAATATCAAAATTTAAGTTAGGGTGAGGTCATTTACTTGACAAAATATTACTCACTGGGTTAAAAAAAAGTCAGCTATAATGAAAAAACTCAAATTTCTTTAATTATTTCAAGATAAAAATAAATTTATATATTAGATTTATAACAAATTTTAAGAAACATATTTAATGCATTAAGTTTTAACAAATTTATAGGGCAATATGCATACGATTTCCATTTTAAAAGACTAAAGTGTGATAGGACAGTACAAAGAAAAGCATCCTGCTTCTCTCTTTAAAGTAAGCTGGCCTTTCTCCCGCAGTATGCTGGATGAGAGCCCCTAAATGACCTTCCTGATGGAAACAACTAAAATGCTGGAATTGACATATTTTAAAAATTGTTCTTTTGGGTTTTATATCTCTTGTGTAATTTTCTTCTATGCCAGTTCACATTTTGGGTTTTCTTCTCTCTTCCTACCTCAGTCGTTTATAGGAGAAACCAGGCCATTTGTCCTACGACTGGATTTGGCTGGATTTTTACTTCCTCCTATCATTTAGCATTTAAATTGTTCCTTTAGCCTTTGCATTTTCAATAAACTGGTAGTTTCATGTGGGTGGTTAATTAGATTCTCATTCAATTTTTGGTTTTGATAGGACTACTTCAGAGGGGGGCTGTACCTCTACTATGGCATGTTATGGGGTCTGTGACAGATTGCCACATTTTCAGTGACAGCAGAATGATCAGTAGGTTCAGGGGCCATCAGTCTGATTCCTCCATTATAAAGTTTCCCATCAAGATTTCACTTAATGGTTTTGACATCCTTTGATGGTCATGGCACAGATCTATTATTTTCTTAGAGATCTGTGTTTACTGGCTGGAATTCTGAAAAGAAAATCTTTCCTCAATCAAGTATTTGGTCAACTTGAAATGGAATCCATAAAGGAAAGACAGGCTAAATGCTTGAGTCTTTCCCTTTACATGTCAGTTATTAGAGTAATGAGTTGGTGTTCCAGAAATTTGTAATAATGGTCAATAAGTTTTTTTTAAAACATCATTTCCAACTGAGTCAATTAAATCATAATAGAAATTAGAAAATGTTTAAAACTAAATGATAACAAAAATATTCATTCAAAACAAGAAGGATTCTGCTTAAACAGTACTTGGACGGAAAGTTATACAGCCTTAAATGCTTACAGTAGAGAAGAAAGTTTCAAAATAAGGAGATAAAATTCCAACTCGGGATGTAGAAAAAAAAGAACAGAATAAAATGAAAGAAATTTGAAGGAGGAAAATTAAGACAGAAACAGAAAGAAACATTTAAAAGAGACGGTTCAACAAAGCTAATAGTTGGTCCTTTAGAAAGATTAATAAAATTGACAAACCTCTGGAAAAAAAAAAAAAGAAAGAAGGCACAGATTAACATTACATGAAAAGGGAATATTGCTATAGTTTTTGTGAAGCTTAAACAGATATCACAAAGACATGAATAACTTTATACCCAAAATTTGAAAACTTAGATAAAATAAAACTCTTAGAAAATGGAACTCACCAAAACTGAGTCAGGAAAACCTAAATTGTCATATATTAATAATAAAGAAACTCAATCAGCTTAAAATCTTCCCACAAAGAAAGCACCAGTGCCTGTTTATAGGTAAGTTCTACCAAAGTTCAAGGAATACACAATTCAAATAGTACTGATTCCAGAGAATAGAAAAATAGGAAATATTCCCTAATACATTTTATGGAGCTAAAATAAATCTTTTACCAAAATCAGACAAAGATAACAAGAAAGAAAAAATTATAGGCCATGAAAATAACAGTCATAACGAAATAATAGCAAATTAAATTCAACACTGTATTAAAAAGGAAATAAATCATGATCAAGTTTGATTTCATGCCAGGGATGCAAGACTGGGGTGATGTCAAATATCAGAACATCGATTAATGTAATCAACAGATGAAAGAAGAAAGTCATATAACCATCTCTTTGAAGCAAATCAGAGTGTACTGTATCACTTGAAATTCATTTCTAGGTGTTTATCTTAGAGAAAATCTTATATATGTTCCCAGGAGATACACACAAAAATGTACATAGCAGCATTGAAGATAATAGAAAAAAAAAACAACCAGAAAACATACAAATATACACCAGCAGTAAAATGAATACATATATTGTGGTGTATTCTTATCAGAGTACCACACAACATTGAAAATGAACTATAGCTACACATATCAACTTAGAGCAAAAGCAGAAAAATTACACTAGAGTTCATATAGTCTGATTCTAATAATATAAAGCTATAAGACAAACAAAACTAAACAACATGTAATTTAGGAATACATATATTGAGGTAAAACTCAAAGAAAGACAAAACAATGATTAACACAAAAATTAGAGCAGTGGTTACCTGAAGCTGGGAGGAGGGTCAGGTTGGGGGACCACACAGGGACTTCTATGGTCCTGGCAATGTTCTATTTCTTAAGCCAGGTGGTGGGCACCCAGGTGTTCATTTATTACTGGTCTTTAAACCATGCATAAACATTTTATAACTCTTTTTTTTATATACTCTGTATTTCACAAAAATAAATAAATAAAAGGAGAGGTAAGTTGATGTCTATTTAAAAGAAATGGGATTGAAACAATTTTTGCCAGTAGCTGCTTGCCTGACTGACAGATTTCCCAGCAGGGACTGGAGTTGGAAAGCAGCTTTCCTTCTGTCTATTTCCTGATGCGTTATTAATGAAGCTGCGAGTTACAGAGGAAAGAGGACAGACACAGAGCACATAGCAAGTCCTACAGATTTTGTTTCTCACCTAATGCTTCTGAATCCAAAAACTGGGTGGTAATGGTTGTACAACATTGTGAATATAATTAATGCCACTTGAATTGTACATTTAAAAATGGTTCAAATGGCCAATTTTATGTTACATATGTTTAATAAAAAATAAATAAAAGTGAGTAAAAAATAGAAGGCAGGACCAGGCATTAGGTGTGAATGAAGTGCCAAACAGGTAAAGATATCCCAGTACCATCACAGTTTTGAACAAAATAACTATTGACATTAACTTAAATATTACATAAAAAATTTTAAAAGTTTACAGATAGTATCAAAGGCAAGCCGCAATGCAAAGACTTTAACCAAAAGAAGATTCCTAGTGTAAGCGGTGCCTTCACTTTGAGATTTTAGAGGGGGTCTGTTCAGCTCAACTGTTCAGATAGCTAAATGGCTATGAACAAACTTGTTTAAATCGTCTTTCAAATGGTATCAGTACCTGCTACAATAAGTTATTCATCATATGGCTATGTTCTGGTAAAAAAGATTTGCATTGAAGTGCGATTGACACATCTAGCTTTTCACAAAAGCCTATTTTCTTAGAGAAACAGGCTGTTGTTCTGTGCTGCCAAAAAGAATGAAAGTGCCATCAATGGGAGACACAAAGAATATTCTAAGGGGAACTTACTAGGCAGATTCAAAGAATGCCTGAGTCTTCTGGGCACACCCAGAGCTGAGAATGCGGCGTAGGCCTCCGAGACCCCTTGTTCTGTGTTCTTAGGGCCCAGTGGGCACGCAAACCAACCCCCAGAGGCAGGGCCATTGCGGATGACAGTGGCAGCACAGGGGGAGCAGTGCACAACTCCAGGGAATGCTATTCACACACCCCCTGATAAGAGTGGCACCCCTGGAGCTGGCAACACAGTGGCCCCTTCCATAGGTACAGCACGTGACACTAAGCAAGGAACCACTCAAATGTCACAGGATAAACACCATTCCTCTTCCAGGAACATTAATTATATCCAAATGCAAGTAATACAAAACATTCCTTTTCTATTTTTTTGTTTTTTCTTTTACTTTTATTTCAGCATATTGTGGGGGTACAGATGTTTAGTTTAGGTATGTTGCCCTTGGTCCCCTCCCCAGTCCTTTTCTATTAAAACAAAGATGGCTACAACTTGGTTATACGCATGCATGGGATTCAATATAAAATTCACAGCAGCTAAGATGTGAGACTTCCAAGAAGCTTCATGTTTTCAGTAGACCACCTGGGGCTGCATTCCCAAATCCCTAACGACCAGCCCTTGCTGTTAGGGCTACATTGGTGAAACAGGTATTTATTCTCTGACATTTAGGGGAAAATAAGCTCTCACTACAAACCAAAATTACTATTGGTTATCTTGCTCATCAATATAACCAGAATGAATCTGGCGATTCAGATTTTACACATGATTTTACAAAATGCTAATCATTTGATCATAATGAGTTGGAAAGGTTAAATGCTAAAATTAGTATTTCTTTAGTAGCCACATTATACATGTTGTAAAAGCTGATTCTGGTTAGATCAATAATAATATTAGCTGTTTATATATTATTGAGTTCTGCTATTATTCATCTGGCATTTAGCCAAGTTAATTTGCATAGAAAATTATTTAAATTTATCTTGACATCTGGGAAGAAAATTATTTGTAAATGACACTAATCTTGAATTAAGAATCTTTTCAATATAAACCAGATATATGGTCACACAATGGAAAACTATGCAACCCATAAACTCATGTTTTAGAAGACTGTAGTAGAAACAAGATTCATACTGATGATATACATACTGATAATATTCTTATAAAAATATGCAGACATATGCATACACAAGTACGAAAAGGACACATACCCAAATATTGAAGTGATTATATTTGAATGGCAAGTCATTTTTTTCTTTTTGTGTTTTTCTGTGTTTCCAAAGTACCCTGCATTTAGCATCTCTTACTTTGGTAATTTAAAAAATCATAATAAAACGAGTGAATACAAGCCAGTATTAGAAATAATTTTGGATAGAAAAAATAAATACAACTATACCTGTGAATAAGACATCTCCACCATCTAAGGTCGCATTTTCATCTTTCATCTCTACTATATTGAGCTGAAGTTTTTCTAATGCTTCTTTCATCATGTCAACCTGTTAAAAAGAAAATGATTCAGATTAATATTCTGCCATTTCCTAACAAGAAAATCAACTATCTAAAACTTCTAAACACTAAATCATGCTCTCATGTGCATGTGCATGCATGCGCACACACATACATACCCATCCTTGTGAATATATGAATATATGTAGTGTAGTACAGGACTAGTCATGATCATTTGTAAGAGAAGAAATTATTTGTTAGAAATTGCCCATTTGTTCCCTTCTAGTCTAAGCTTGAGTCAACACCATTGTGCCTTTTTCTGTAGGAAGGCTGACTAGTTAGGGGACACGAGTCAAGGAAGATGGGAGGCAGAGCATCTAACCCTCCTACCCTTGCCAGAAGGTACAAGATTTAATTTTAAACCTTATGTGAGTTATTCATTTAGTCAGAATTAAACACAGAGGCCGGGCGCGGTGGCTCACGCCTGTAATCCTAGAGGCAGGCGGATTGTTTGAGCTCAGGAGTTCGAAACCAGCCTGAGCAAGAGCGAGACCCTGTCTCTACTAAAAAAATAGAAAGAAATTAATCGGACAACTAAAAATATGTAGAAAAAATTAGCCGGGCATGGTGGTGCATGCCTGTAGTCCCAGCTACTCGGGGGGCTGAGGCAGGAGGATTGCTTGAGCCCAGGAGTTTGAGGTTGCTGTGAGCTAGGCTGACGCCACGGCACTCACTCTAGCGGGGGCAAAAGAGTGAGACTCTGTCTCAAAAAAAAAAAAAAAAGAATTAAACACAGAGAGAGTAATATATGGAAGGAATATCAATGACAATAACTAGTAACTTGAAATCTCAACCCATAGGACAGTCATTGCTTTCTATGCAAATATTTTCTAAAATGTCAGAATATTCACTGTTTCTCTGTAAATCTAAACTGTTACTTAAGTTTATATTCAAACAGTTAATACGATCATCTGTCTTTTAAAACTTAGACTCCCTAGAGGTGATTAACAAACACAATTACAATCAAACCAAAGAATATTTGAAAATGAATCTCAGGGAATTTCTATGATTATTCTAGGGTGTGTCTAAAACACAGAGATATTCTGGGATGAATTAGGGAACACTTCTAGTGAGGCTTACTTTGAAGTGTAACAAATTGACATTCACAATTTAATTCAACTCCTACCAGCAGCTCAACAAAACAATTTAAATATTTTTGAAGGTCCGTAAAACCTTTAGTGTGGTAAAGACATACATTGAAAAGAAATGAATAGGGGCTAAGGGAAAAACAAGAGATCACATCACACTGGGCAAGCAGGTAGTTCTGCCAAAATACAGCATGCTGAGTACACAGAGTGAATTGTCAATGAAGAGTTTATGAGACATAAATATAGCAGAGTTAGTTCTAAAGTAATAAAAATATGGAAATACTTTGACAACAAGCCCGACATTCATGCATTCAGAAAACAGTAAAGAGGATACAAAGTAAAATAAATATATCATCTCATCCTTATCCTGGAACTCATGTAAAAATTCCATGAACCAGAGTGACTCAGAACAATAAAAATTATTTCCATGGACAAAATGGTCTTAACATTGTAGTAAATACATCCAGTGACCTCTTTTAACAGCAGAATAGGTTTTCCTATGTAATAGGAAGTGGAATCGTTGCTATAGCATAAAAAAAGAGCAAAACATTTATCACGATTTGTTGGGCTACCATGAACCCAAGAAAATACACCACTGTTTCCTCTGGCATCTCTGCTTCTGTGTCCATGGAAAATTCACTGAGCTTAGGGAAAGATCATGAGAACTGAGCTAGTTACTTTTTGTTTCTATTACCAATGCTACTGCTTCTGTTATAACTTAACATTTCAAAGATTACTAGGAATTCAGCAATAATGTGGATTTTGGTCTGAAAAGTTTATGTGTAGCTATGTAACATCTCAACTCAGGAACTTTATTCAACTCTTAAAGGTTAAAGAAGAACAGAAATAGAGAGACTACTATGTACCAGTTTCAGAAACACTGTATTTCTTTATAAAGTCCTATGCCTTTCAAAATTAAAGTTTTAGAGGGTAAAATGCTTGTGGTTTTTTAAAAGTTAAAACAGCTGTACTGACATTAAAAAACTGGCTTTTGTGCAGGGGCAGTACTTAAAAAAAAATTCAATCACATCTATGTAAACAAAGTCATCAGGATAGGTCCATACCACAAATGTTGATGATACTACATTACTTTCAGAGTTAAGCGCATGGATGAGTATTTTAAAATTGTAAACATCAAGTAAACAGTTTTGAGAATTGCAGGACCATATGGCATCAAATCAGCAGTGCTAACCCCAGGGAGATTTCTGGAGAAGAAACAAGAGAGGCTGAACCCAGCAGGCTATCCATTGAGAGCCACATACTCTTGGCATAGACAAACTCAACTGCAAACAGGCCCACTGTTACCCTGACACATGGGTCTATAGCAAGCCAGCTATTCAGGCAGCGAGGACACTAAATATAACTACAGAAGTGGGAATTTTTGCAGGAAAAGATCCAAACCATGAGCCTTCAAGAAACTGCCCATTCTGTGGTTACATAGCCATGGTTAATGTTGACTTAATTAACTTTCAAGAGGAAAAAAAAAATGACTAAATAACACACCCACCTTTCATTGAGACACTAACCCTGCAGAGTGGAACTTAGCATTACTCAGAAAAACCATTAGAACAAACAGTATTAACTCCAAAGGCTGAGTTGAATGGGTCATTTTAGCCCACAAAATTAGAAATAGGAAAGGTACATTAGAAGAACAACCTTATTAATTTAAACCTCAACTTAAACCTTACAGTATGACTATATACAGTAATTTTCATTCTCTACTGTAAAGGTCTATAAGAACTTTCTTTCCTTTTCAGCCTACATGCATTTTGACTTCATTTTTTAAAAATTTATACTTACATTTCCTTTTGCTCCATCTTTTCTCCTCCTGTCTTTTACCACAGATTCCTTCTCTGGTCACTGCTACGTCAGACCACCTCTGCTGCTTCCACTCATCCAACCCACCCTTCTTTCTCTTTAAGCTGGTACTAGTTTTAGGGTACAGGTGGCCCTCTGTATCCACATGTTCTACATCCCCAGATTCAACCAGCTACAGATCAAAAATACTTGGGAAAAAACCCCAGTAAAAATAACAACAATAAAAAGTAATGCAAGTAAAAAAATACAGCATAACAACTATTTACATAGTATTTATAATAGGAATTATAAGTAATCTAGAGATGATTTAAAGTATAAGAGAGGGTGTGCATAGGTTATATGCAAACACTATGCCATTTCATATCAGGGACTTAAGCATCTGTGGATTTTGGTATGGGGGTGGGTAGGGGTGGAGGTCCTAGAACTAACCCCCTCGGTTACCAAAGGGTGATTGTAATTATCTTTTCTTTTTTTTCGCTCCCTCCCTGTCTTTCTTTTTCTTCTGGAGTCCTAATGTTAAAAAATGTAGAATTATTAGGGTTATACATTCACAGTCGCTATACTAGGGATGTCTGTATAGTTTATTATTATGACGAAGGTCCTGGGGTTCAAATCTCATCTCTTCTACTTATTAGTCATGTGACCTTAAGTTGTTTAACTTTCTGAGCCTCGGTTTCTCATCTTTATAGTGGGTGATTTCATAATATCAACTTCTTAGGCTCCTTTTGATCATTAAATACATGTAAATCATTTAGCACATAGTAATTGTTGAACAAATATTAGCTATGGCATATTATTTTGATGAATATCAGAGTCTGTGCACACGGTGACAGATACTTATGCTATGAAACTGGCCCACAAGAAAAAGCTGTTGTTTTTTTCTTACATTTGGACAAGATTCATGTGTTTTACCACCCCATGACAGATCCTATCTGCTTTCCAGCAAATTAAAATTATAGTTTTTTTTTCCTGCAAAGCCAATGTAAAGTTAGAATATAAACATTGAGGACACATTTAAATATAAATTTAAATTATTCAAATTTTATTTTCTTCCAGCTCCTGGAACCTGTCATGATATAACCTCTGCTTTGAAGTAGCCCTCCAGAGGTACTCCATAAACCGGGAAGTGGGCCTGTATGCTAAGATGTCCCACAGGACTCAAAAGAGCATCAGACACAACGATGCAGAATGATCATGATTACTGAGGACACTGCCACTCTAAAGAACCCAATTGGGCTAAAGAATTCCTTCTCTTTCTCTGTACCTGGATGCCTTTCTTACCTTTCCTAGTTTTACTCTCTTCTTACCTTCGTTTATCACTCTCATTTGTTCCTTCATTTATTCTGCCATAATTTCATCGTTATCCTCCCTTCTCCTTTCACTCCTTTTAGACCTCCATGGTGAATGGAAAGAATCAAGGATTAGAATGTTGGCTTTGTCACTTATTAGTGATGTGATTTAGGATAAATTCACCCCTCTGAGCCTCAGTTTCATGATCTGCAAATGGGATAATGTAGGCCGGGCGCGGTGGCTCACGCCTGTGATCCTAGCACTCTGGGAGGCCGAGGCGGGTGGATCGCTCAAGGTCAGGAGTTCGAGACCAGCCTGAGCAAGAGCGAGACCCCGTCTCTACTAAAAAATAGAAAGAAATGATCTGGACAACTAAAAATATATAGAAAAAATTAGCCGGGCATGGTGGCGCATGCCTGTAGTCCCAGCTACTTGGGAGGCTGAGGCAGAAGGATCGCTTGAGCCCAGGAGTCTGAGGTTGCTGCGAGCTAGGCTGACGCCACGGCACTCACTCTAGCCTGGGCAACAAAGCCAGACTCTGTCTCAAAAAAAAAAAAAAAAAAAAGATAATTTTTTCTCTCTAACAGGGATTATGTGAGTAATAAGTAAGAAAATACATGTAAAGCACCTAGCTCAGTGCCTGGCACATTGTGTTCAAAACTATTAGTTGATGGTATTATTATTATTTTGCCCTAAATTAACTGAGTCCTTTGTTTGAATTTTGGCTACCTTTCAAAAAGAAATAAAAGATAAAAACATACCATTTTCAGTATTAAATAAAATATCGCTTAAGC